TGGATCATAACCCTAGCAATAAAAACAATTTAAAGAACTCTATTGCATATTTTCGTGTGAAAAGGGAACCTTACTCAGAGATCTACAAAAATCTGAAATGGAGGAAGAAAAGGAGAAAGATGAGGGGAAAGAGAGAGAAATGAGGCTGGAAATCTGATTTCAGGGCCCAGAATAGTATTTTGACAGGGAAAATGCGCAAATTATTATTTGTTTTATATTTTCCATGAACATCATAGTGGGTTGTACTACTGTCAGTAAGATAACATGGGTTGTAAAGGGAAGAAAGGAAGCATCGGTATGAAAAAGGTATAGCTGAAATTTTAGGATTCAAGCTTTGTATCTTCTAGTGTATATCTATTTTTTTTCCAAAAAATGTTTTATTAGGAAAGCTATACCAGACGCATCACTGTACAATGATTAAACATTATCTTTACAATTTATATTCACTTGAAAGTACAGAATAAATATATGCACATTTGTATTTGTGTGTGTGTCTGCGTGTGTGAGCGAGGAAGAGAGAGAGAAAGAGAGAGAGAGAGAAAGAGGGAGAGACGTTAAAAGTGCTTCTTCTATAGAAATGCCTGCTGTAGGGACCTAGTGGGTTTTTCTTTTCCTTCCCCCACCTGTACATTTATTATCCTGGAGTCACTTGAACCAGAAGCGTAGCTGTCCTCCAGAAAGCAAACTTAATAAAATGGTAATGACCTTTCATGTAAGCGAGCCACAGGAGGGAACAAATATAAACCTTCTTTATATTTGGCATTTGGCTAGTATTAAGTCTGCCATCTCCCTTCCACAAAGAGAGGGGGGATTTACTTGAGTACCCCTTTAAGGGGGGGGAGAACCAAAGGAGGGCTGGCAACCAGGGGAGGACAGAGATGCTGACTGGGGAGGGCGGGGAAATGTCTTTGTTTTGATAAGGGTGCATGGAGGTGAGAGAAAGAGAGAGGAAAAAGACTAGATGGTGAGAACATTCAAAAAAGACCCACCCCTCCCATCCTGCAGTTTCCGGACATGCAGCAAACTGCACTGTTGTTGTTGTTGTTCTTTTTTTAACCCACCCACCCCCCCTTTTTTTGTTTTCTTTGAAATAAATGTACAGATTCTGTGCCATGATGAGGAAAAAAAGAAGAAACCGAGCCACAAAAAAATGCTGTTTGGAAGGATGCCTCCCTCCCCTCAACAGGAAGGGGGGGGGAAGATGAATGGAAGGGTTTGTGTTTTCGTTTTGCTTTTTTGTTGTTAAAAAGAAATCTACAGCAGAAAAAAAGAGAGTGCGCGCACGCAAGAGAGAAAGAGAGAGAGCGCCATACACATAGAACTTACTTTGTCAGGGTCGAGACAAAGATTTCCCATGATGCTAATGATAATAATATTCTTATACCTTAGACAACATGGCACAGTCAAAGTCCCAGTGTTTCTGTTTTGCTTTTTTTGTTTTTCAGTATAAAAAAATAATGATTGATTAACATCTGCTGGCAAAAGTCTGCAAAAGGCACTTTATCGATTAATGATCATCTGAGTTGGGCCTTTCCTCCAAACCAACATCTGGCAGGGGGAAAGCACAGAGCTGTATCCTCTAGTATCAGCATGCGGTGGTTGGCGGGGATGTGGGGGGGGGATCAGAAGGGAAAGAAAAGGATGTGGATCAAGGTGGTGAGGGAAGGGAAGGGGCTGCAGGGTACCGGGGGCTAGGAATTGGCTGTAAAAACCTAGACATTTTTCAAAACCTATAAGTGGTCTTCTCCAGGACTTCGAGGTAATCCGGCTTGGTTTGGAGTTTGGCCCTTAACTCGAGGTATTCACTTTGGGGGGTTTGGTGGTGGTCTGGGAAGCCCTTACCAGCTGAGAAGAGAAGGGTTTCTTTCAGCCTGGCGTCCTGCTGCAGGTCTGGATATTGCATGCCAGGGGGGTGCACGTGCAGTTCCTTTAATTTGGGCACCGTGCCGTAGAGGCAGTCCACAAAGCCCACTGTGCACGGAGGGGCTAAGGGTGGCCTCTCCCTGCTGTCTAAAATGGCACCACTAGGGGGGAATAAAACCACCCCACCGTTCTTCTCGTGATGGAAGACAGGTGGCACCAGCGCTAGTTCCCCCATGAGAGGCAACCCCCCACCAATACCCCCTCCAGGTGGGTGTGGGTGATGGTTGGTGGTCACTATGGTGTTGAGCTGTGAACTGGATACAGCCAAGCTCCACTCTTTCTCCTTCTCCAGCAAGGTCCTGTAGCAGCTACTGCTCCCACTGTCCTTTGTGGGATCAACAAACTGTTCCCCGGCACAGCCACCACCTCCACTGCCTCCTAGAAGGATGTCCCCAGGTGGCCCAGGTTCCCCTGCTACGGCATCATCCTCCTCCCGCGGTTTGTAGATGGGGTTGTTGCACATCTGGGTTACTGGATGCGGGATGTAATCATAGACATGGCCCACCGGGGGTGCCTTCTCCGGGGAGGCGCTAATTCCCCCGCCTCCGCCGCTGCCACCTTCTTCAAAAAGATGGTGGCACTGCATTTGGATGCCGGTTAAGTCAAGGGCCTCCTGCCGCTGCTTGTTCCGGAAGGGAAGATTCTTTCGGTGTCGGCGCAGGACGAAGGCAAAAAGGCCCGCAGCAATGAAGACTGCAGAGAAGAACAGTACCAGTAGGCTGAGAATGAGCACAGAAAGAGGAACAGGACCTCCTGCAGCTGGGGGGAGCTCGTAGGGCGAGGGGCTGGTGGGGCTAGGATGGCCTGACGCTGGTGGGACTGGCGAGGCAACGGCAGCGTGCAACATCTCTGGGCACAGCACCTCCAGCTCCACAGAGCGGATGTCTCGGTTGGTGAGGTTTTCAGGGCTAGCACAAAGGACGTCCCCCACCACGATGACTGAGCTGATGGTCTCAATCCACTGCTTGAGAGGCACCAGGTTACATGTGCAGTCCCAAGGGTTGAGCTTCAGGTCAATCTGGACGATGGCATTGAGGTGCTCCAGTACGCCAGCCACAGGCAGGTACAGGAATTTGTTGTTCCTCAGGTTGAGCCTGGCCAGGGAGGTGCCGGCAAAGGCATCGGTTGGAAGGGTCCTCAGGAGATTGTCGTTGAGGAAGAGCAGCTTCAGGTTGGGCATGAGACTGAAGGCAGCAGGCTGGATCTCCCTGATCTGGTTGTACTCGAAGTACAGATAATGCAGACTCTGTAGGCCTCGGAACATGCCCGGTGTCAGCCTCTCAATGTCGTTGCCGTTCAGGTACAGACTCTTCAGATTCGGCAGATTGATAAACGCCCCATCCTGCACGTAGGAGATCCGGTTGTTCCCAAGATGCAGGAGATCCAAAGAAGAAAAATTCCAGAAATCTGAACGGTAAATTTTCTGTATCAAATTCCCACTTAGGTACAGTTTCTTCGCATTCACCGGCCTGGGCAGGAGCTCAGAAATGTTGTGGAACCCCCTCTCCTTGCAATTCACCGTCAGGCCCAAATCGTTTATGTGCAAACTGCAGGAGCAACCACTAGGGCATATGATCGGAATGGGAGGCCTTGTCTGGTACGCAGCAACGGGAGCCTGGTTGGGGCCAGGATAGAGGCCTCGAGGTGTCGGGGGCGGTTTATGCGTCCTGGGATGTTTTGTGGGTTTGGGCGGCTTCAGGGACGTTTTATATTCAACAGAGGAAGCAGTGAAATGGAAGGAGGACAACATGGAAGAAGGTTTAGTAGGCCAGGCATTCTCTTTGCTCGAGGGCAACTGAGGGACTCCAATGTTGACTAGGTCGGAGTCAGACAACATAGGGCAGAGCTTGTTTCTTTTAATTTCCCTCAGGTCCTTACCGTGAAAATGGAAAGGTGTCTCACAGGTTATGTCTCCCACAAGGGCAGTGTAAGGGATGCGCTCCAGCCAGTTCTTTAGCTGAACGATTTCACAAGTACAGTTCCAGGGATTCTCTTCCAACTGGATTTCCATCAAGCTGCGGCCGATATGGTCCAGCATTCCCCGGTAAGAGAGCACTTTCAACCTGTTCCCACGCAAGTCCAAGTGAGTTAAAGACACAGACTTGAATAAATTGGTGGGGAGCATGGGAATAAGGTTGTCGTTCAGGATGAGGACCCGGAGTTTGCTCAGATTCCGGAACGCCCCGCTTTCAATCCGCTTAATGACATTGTAATCTGCCTGCAGATACTCCAGACTTTCCAACCCGAGGAAAGTATCGTTTCTGAAAATGTCTAGTTTATTCTCATGCAGGTACAACCTCTTCAGAATTTTGAGCCCGTTAAAGGCTCCGATCTGAATGTCTTGTAGCGCATTGTTCCCAAGGTTAATAGAAACAGCGTTGTTCAAGTGGAGGAAACTGTTGGTGTACAATCTCCGCATGGAATTCCTCTGCAGGTAAAGTTTGAAAGGTCTCGACCACGACTCCGTTATCTGGCTAATATTTATAAATCCCTTGTTGTCGCAGTGTATATGGAAAAGGCTTTCTTTGACTTCACAGTAACAAGGGTCAAAGCAAGGTTCCTCAATTTCCTCCGAGTCCTCTATCAAAGGAATAGGGGTAGTCCAGGCTACAGCAGTTGTGCTTAAAAGAATAATCCACAGCATCTTCCTTTTACGGGGAGGATCTGCCGTTGGAGACTTCATGGTCAGGATGGATTACAAAACTGCAACAGAAATTAAAAACAACAACACACAAACAGATTACAGCGAATAACTCTCTCTTTTTTTCCAGTCTGGTATTCCAAAGCAAACAATTCCTTCCTCCTCAGGGAAGGGGGGTTCTCGGGCTCTTTGGAAGTTCATTCAGCAAACAAATTCTAGAACTGCTAGCAAATTCTTCCCCCGCTTTCAGCTGAACTGATGTTGAGAAATTTAATCATGCCATGGCCTTCTCTCTCCCACCCCATCCATCCTCCTTTAGGCTGTTTGGTAAATGACACCGCCATGAACAACAGCAGATGGACCTACGGGGCCTATGTTGTGAAAGGTACACCAGCATTTTTTTGTCGATATAGAAAGAACCCAAGCTCAAGAGGCAACAGTAGGTATTTCAGTCTTACCTCTACTCTTGCTTTAAGTAGGAAAAAAGTTGGCAGGGTGAGGAAAAAGGTCTCTCTGTGCTACAGATGCATCTATTTAGACTACCAACTAAAATATATTGCTGCAAACACACATCTACTTAACTTCAAAGTTATGCATTTCCAGGCTGAGGATATTCGGTCCACCCACGCTGGGCTAGCCCTTATTTCAGAAGGCGATAAAACAAGTTTCCAGCATCTCTGCCCTCTGTAGAGATGCTCTTCGCTGGGATTCTGTCCCTGCACACGGTGAGCAGCAACCGTTCTTTCACAACAGGGGGAAATGAATAAACCTCTTCTCTTTTGAGCAGGCCAAAGAGATTAACACAACTGGTATAGGATCAGATAAATGCACACTCCATATTAGTCATTTCGACTGATTAAAGCATTTAGAGATGATTAATAGTCGGGAAGCACATGCCTGTGCCATCCGTAGATCCAAGGGGGAAGTGACAGTTGAAGGCGAGGGAATTCAAAAGGCTGATGGTGTGTGTGTGTGTGTGTGTGTGTGTGTGTGTGTGTGTGTGTGTGTGTGTGTGTGTGTTTATGTGTGGAGATGGGATTGTAATTAGGATGTCTTCTGCCTGTAGGTAATCAAAAGGTGGGGAGGGGAAAGAGATAAAGTGTGTGAGAGAAAATGCCTTAACACTAACCCCAGGTTTGTTTGTTTTTAAAAATACCTAGCTCTGTCCTAAAAAGCTCACAAAAGAGTCTACTTTAATGAGGTTACTATCACCCTATGAGCTACCCTGCTTCCTGAATTGGGGAAGGTAGACCTTCTGGCTTTCCTCTTTCTCCCTAGCTCATTCCGACAGTGGGGAATAAATCTTTGACAAATCTGAATCCTGACAACAGTGGCTTTGCAGCCCTTCTCAAACGTTGCCCATTCAAAGGGTTGGTCAGAACCTCGGTATTTATTTCAGCTCCCTTTCTAGCAAAGCAGCTTCGCAGATATAGATTATATGGCACTCCATCACCCCCACCCCCATGCAGAGAAAGGGAATTCCTTCCATCTGACTAGGACAAAAAGTGGTGGTGGTGGGGGACCCTTGACCAAGAACACACCACATTTTGGAAGCAAAATAGAAGAGGCAAGAGAGGATTTTTAAAAAGATGGGGGAAAAATGAAACCAGAAGATCAATTTCCAAATATAGGAAACAGAGATGCCGGTTAAAAGGAAAGTACCCGAGAGGATCTGAATGAGAAATGAGGGAAATCAGAGAGGTCTCCTTTCAATACCGCCTTTACGCCTTTTGTCTAGTCACAGAAATAAATACATTAGCTACTCCAGTGTGCATATAGATCTATTGATAATAATATCGATCTATTGACAGAGATACAGGGTGTTCTACAGAGGCACAAAAAGCGGTGGGGGGGGAGGGGAGGAATCGAGAGAAAGAGAGAAGAGAGGGATCCAGAAAGAGGTTGTACTTACCAGGTCCAAGGAGAGATTTTTAGCACATTTAGAGAGCGCAGGGGGAACGGCAAAACCAGTTGGGGGAAAAAGAAAAAAAGACAAAGGCATGTATAGAATTTCCAAGGGCTTCTTTTAAAAAATATATATATACCCAAAAGGAAAGGATGGTCGGTTTCTCTCTTTCTCTCTGTTCTGCTTCTATACTCCTGCTGAGGGCTGAGGCGAAAGGAGGGGGGGGCGAGCAAGCAAAGATGAGACGTGCGAGGAATGCAATGAGCTTCTTTAGGATGCAGAGATGCTGTTTGGCACAGTCAATGGAGGAAGGAGGCAAAGGGGGCTGATGCAGGCTCTCAGTTTTCCTGCCGCTGCTGCTGCTGCCGCCACCACCACCGCCTTTTCTGGGTACCACCACCAGCTCATCTTTCTGGAAAAGGATGGGAGGGAAGGTCTCTCTGGAGCCGGCAGGTTCAGGCTTCCACTCCTTCTCTCTCTCTCTTCCTCTCTCTTAATTTTTTTTCTCTCCCTTTCTCCCTGGATGCCTCTCTCTGCCTCTTGTTGCCCCCAGATCAGGCTTTCTCTCTCTCTTTCTCCCTCTCTCCTTCCCTCTCGCTCCCTCCCTCCCTCTCTCTCTCCCACGTCATGAATCCGAGCTTCAAGAAAAGGGGAACAAATGTAGGAGGACGCGCTTGGCACCGGGTCGGGGGCGCTCGGCTGCGTATGGGAAGCCCTGGCAGTGCTGGGTTTGCCACCTCCCCCTTTCCCTTGCCTCCCCCTTCCTCCTGTCAAGAAGGAGGGGGAGGATTATTTGGGGGAAGTTATTTTGGGGGGTGTGGGTGGGTGGGGGAGGACACAGGAGCAGGGAGACCCCCCAGAAGACTGGGGCGAGCAGGAGCCGCCAGCAGAGAGAAGCCGATCAAGGAGGATGGGGAACACTTCCCTCCTGGGAAGGAAGGGGGGATGGAGAAAGGATCATTTACAAAAAGAAGGGAGATGAGAGAGAGAGAGAGAGAGAGAGAGAGAGAGAGAGAGATGGAATGTCTCCGGAGTTGGGTGAAGTGTGCAAATCCCGACAAATCCTTGAGCACTGCAGCCATTAAAGGGGGAGAGGATACCCGCCCCTCTTCCCCACACCCAGCCAGGAAAGATGCTCACCTCCTTAGCATCCTAAAACTCCTCTCTCTTCTCAACTGTCTCCAGCCACTGCCTGCAGTTCTCCATCGGATCTAAACCTGTCCCAGAAGAAAGCGGCCAAAGAGAAATACGCAAGAAGGGCCACCTTGGAGGAAACTTGCTGGAGAGCTTCTTTCTCCTCCCGGCTGGACCTCATCCTTATCCTCTCTCTCTCTCTCTCCCACCCCCCCTCCTCTTGCCATTCCCCACCCCTCCCTTGCTGCAGCTGGGGGTGGGACGGAATAGCCTTCCCTCTGCCCTTTCCTCGATCCAACAGGCTCCCTTCTCTTTCCAGCCCAGAGCGCTTTAAAAAGCTCTTCCTCTTGTGCCGGAGCCACTCGGGTCAGGAGGGAGCGGGTCGCATCCTGCCTTGCTTTGCCTTGCCAGAGGAGGAGAGAGGAGTAGAAGAGGGGCAGGGTTTAACCCGTCGGCTGCCAGGGCCCTCTCCTGAAAGCAGCTGCCCTCTCCCTCGCCTCCTGCCCGACTGCACAGGACACCTCCCTCCACACACACACACAAACACGCACACACCTCAGAACAGAAAACCCCACACCGTAACTGCTGCCTGGCGCCTGAGAAGGAGAAACCACCTCTGCCTCGTTTCAGCCGGGATCTCAGAAGAAGAAAACAAGAGAAAGCGGCTCAAAAGGTAAAAGGATCAATCCGGCTTTCTCTCTCTCTCTTTTTTTTTTCTCTTGGAAGCATGGGGGGTAAGGGGTTAAAAAAAGATAAAGCTCAGGAGGGGAGGGGGAGGCAGTGAGAGAAAGGATTCCTGGTGGCTCCAGAGTACAGATAAGAGACTGGATCACGGTTAAGCGCTCAGGTCGAGTCTATGGATCCTCGATCGGTTTTCCCCCCCTCCCCGCCCCATCTGCAACTAAGTTGCCACTAATGGGCTCAAGTTCCCTCGGTCACTTCGATCCATCCTTTTAAAGTATACCTTTCACATACACAGAACTCCCCACCCACCGGCCGGCTTTGGCAAGCCAGCGCTTTCTAAAGGAATCCTGCAGATCGATTGATCGGTTTTAAAAGCCGCCTCCTGCAAATAATGTGTTTTTTGGGGGGGAGAGGGAGGCGTCCGGGAGATTTCATGGGAACGAGTTTGGGGGGGAGGGAGCGCATTTCGTCACAAAATCCGTGTTTTCGGAGAGGGAGGCGTCCGGGAGATTTCATGGGAACGAGTTTGGGGGGGGGCGCATTTCGTCACAAGATCCGTGTTTTTGTCCGAGGAAGGCTTCCGACTTGCTCTCGGATTCCCCATCCCACCCCACCCGTCGCCCCATCCTTGCAGACGGGAAAAGGGGTCGGGGTTGCTAGAGGGGCACTGTTTGCCCCGGAGGGAATGACGTCTCGCCAACACCGTTATTAAGTATTCCTCGGCGCCACAGGGCGCACCCTCTCGGCCACGCTCAACGGACTGGGATCCCAACGCATTGCATGGCGGCGAGTGGGCGTCAC